TTCCTCCAAAGACCTCATCCACACAGAGCATTTGTGAGCCTGGTAAACTTCCCTGATCAGTTATAGGTCAAGAGGAAGAATCACATCACACCATACAACACATAACTTAAAGTCCCTTATTAGCTGTAACCTCTGTATTCTTAAAAGTCCCTGAACTCAGTTGTCACTAGGGTTCCTCACTGACTTTTCACCCAAGTGCAGTGTCCAGTCTCCTAATATCTTGATGGCTTCTCCCTTCATCTCCCTGTACTCCACTTACCTCTCATCTTCCTCTCACAAGAGCAAAACACCAAATCCCTCCCACGGCAGAGCAGCTTAGTCAGTCTTAGGTGGCTTGGTATCATACTGACACCCATACTCATAGAGTCTCTACCTCTATATCAAGTGGCCTAACAAAATATTTTATCAAACAAAACATATCCTTTCCTAAGAAGGGTTCTAGAGCCAAGGCTGTCAGAAATTTTCAATTCCATAACCTTTTTAACCTCTTAGCCTTTTGACATGTTATTTCCCCACCTAAATGTCTGACTCGTTCTTTAGAACTCATTCCCCCAACAGTCTTTCCTCCAAAAAGGAATCTTGTTGGTCCTGCAAGGTACCTGGGGGTATGCTACCTATCCTGGACCACTGAAATCCAAGGTCAGGTGGTGGGCAGATGAAAATTTGGACAGAAGATAATAAGAGGGGTGGTTTACTTCTAATTTAGCTCTAATATGAGATAGTAATCTTTTGGAGCTTATTGTAGAGATTCTCTCCTTTAGATTTCTCCCCTGACTGATTTCTGTACTGCTCACCCCACAGCATCCTTAAAACAAAAATGAAATTGGAAACAATTGGCACTGCCTTAAGGGCAAAAGTGGCTCCTGTGCTTTTTTACCTCTCTGTAGCCCTATTTTCCCTTTTTTTTCTTTTTAATTTTTTATTTAAATTCCAGATAGTTAACATATAGTGAGTATTGGTTTCAGGAGTAGAATTCAGTGATTCACCACTTACACACAACATCCAGTGCTCATCACAAGTGCCCTCCTTAGTACCCATCACCTCACCTGTCTAGCCCATCCCTCACCCACCTCCCGCCATCAACCCTCAGTTTGTTCGCTATCTTTAAGAGTCTCTCATGGTTTGTTTCCCTCTCTCTTTCCCCCCCTCCCATATGTTCATGTTTCTTAAATTCTACATGAGTGAAATCATATAGTATTTGTCTCTGACTGACTTATTTCACTTAGCATAATATACTCTAGCTCCATCCATATCATTGCAAATGGTAAGATTTCATTCTTTTTGATGGCTGGGTAATATTCCATCATGTGTGTATTATGTATGTATATGTATATATGTATGTATATTTATAGATGTATATATATGTGTGTCTATATATGTGTGTGTATACACACACACACACACACACACATACACACCATATGTTCTTTATCCATTCATCAGTCAATGGACATTTGGGCTCTCTCCATAGTTTAGCTATTGTTGATAGTGCCACTATAAACATCAGGGTACATGTACCCCTTCAAATCTGTATTTTTGTATCCTCTGGGTAAATACATAGTAGTACAATTGCTGGATCATAGGGTAGTTCTATTTTTGAGGGGCAGGGGCCTCCATATGTTCTCCAGAATGGCTGCACCAGTTTGTATTCCCACCAACAGTGCAAAAGGGTTCCCCTTTTTCCACATCCTCGCCAACATTTGTTGTTTCCTGAGTTGTTAATTTTAGCTATTCTGACAGGTGTGAGGTGGTATCTCACTGTGGTTTTGATTTGTATTTCCTTGATGATGAGTAATGTTGAGCATCTTTTCATGTGTCTGTTAGCCATCTGGATGTCTTCTTTGGAAAACCATGTCTTCTGCCCATTTCTTAACTGAATTATATGTTTTTGGTGTTGCATTTCATAAATTCTTTATAGATTTTGTAGACTAACCCTTTATTAGCTATGTCATTTGCAAATATCTTCTCTCGCTCTGCAGGCTGCCTTTTAGTTTTGTTGATTTCCTATTTTCCCTCTTATGGATCTCTGGTATTTCCTATCTTGTTAACAACTAGTCACTTTCAAAAAAGTATTTTTCTTCTTTTCTTTTCAGCATTTTGTTTTGTTTTAGTCTGTCTCCTCCAGGTAAATCAATAAGGTCAGACAGAAATAGATTTTAACTTCTCTAAGAAAATTTAACCCAAAAGTGTAATTGATTCCCTTTTTAAGATCTTCATGTCATTGTCTGCTCTCCAGGAAAACCACCTAGACAATAAATATCTGTAGCCCATCATATATTTGCATCATATATTTGCAAGACACTATGCTTTATCTTGGGGATTTTGTGGTGAGTATGGCAGAGTCCTTGTCTACAGTGACTTGTCCTTTTTGCTGTGCTATGGAAACTGTGATGAATCAGTGTTCTTTGTTCTCTACAACATTATACTGTTCATCTCTTGGCAACAGATTACCAGCTTATTATAAAAGGATAAAGCTTTGAAACAGCTAGGTGAAATACATGCATAGGACAAGCTATGTGGAAAGGTACCCCGAACTTCCACGCTCTCTGAGTGCACTACTCTCCCCACATTGCCATGCATTCATCAACCCAGAAGCTCCCTTCTCAGTACTTTTGGTTGTTTTCAGTGGGAAAGATATTCCAAATAATCTAGACAGCCATAACTGGAGACTTAAGTCATTAAATCCTTACTAATTAGGAAGCAGATTTTTTGTCACGTATTCTTAAGTGTTTTGTGAGGCCTTCTTCTAGGTAGAAGCTTCCATTCTTGTGTCAATGGCTACAGTCCAGGAAACAAATCCATCTCTCTGGCTTCACTCATGCATGCACTCATTCAAAAGACATCCACTGGATATGTTCTATAAAGCATGGTTACAAGAGTGAACTGGTTAGAGTCCTTGCCCTCCACTTCCTTGTTAAGAATGAGCAGGAAGAGCCATATGAATTACCACTTTTTAAGATCAGAAAACCCTACCAGCCAACTTATGAAATTTCCACATCTCCAGCCCACTGAATGGCACAGTTATAAGGGATGAGAAAACTTTAGCATGCATAACAATCATCTAGAGGGCTTATTAAAACAGATTACAGGGGCCCACCTCCAGAAATTGTGATTCCTAGGTCTGAAGCAGAGCCTAAGAATTTGTATTTCTAGCAAGCTTTTAGAGAGATGCTGATGTTTGGTCCATGGTCCACATTTTGAGAACCACTATGAAAGGAGCTCTAGATAAAGCTTAGGAGCAAATGCTTCTGCTCCTTTGCAGGACTCTCCATTTTTAAAAATCAAAAGATAATCCATAGCCAAAACCATTCAATGGGGAAACAATATTCTTTTCAACAAATGGTGCTGGGACAACTGGATAGCCACATGCAAAAAAAAAAAAAAAAAAAAAAAAAAAATGAAGCTGTATCCTTATCTCACACCATGTATAAAAATTAACAACAAATCAACATGGATCAAAGACCTAAAGATAAGAGTTAAAACATAAAAACTATTAAAAGAAAACAGGGGTAAATCTTCACGATCTTGGATTTGGCAGCATATTCTTAGATATGACACAAAAGCACAAGAAATAAAAGAAAAATTGATAAGCTGGACTTTATGAATATTAAAAACTTTCGTGCCCCAAAGAACACTATCAAGAAAATAAAAAGACAACATATAGAATAGTAGAAAATACTTGTAAGTCATATATCTGAGAAGGGACTTTATCTACAAGTTTTATACCTCAGTAATAAAAAGAAAGCTCAGGGCCCCTGGGTGGCTCAGTCGGTTAAGCATCCGACTTCGGCTCAGGTCATGATCTTGAGGTTTGTGAGTTCGAGCCCCCATTGGGCTCTGTGCTGACCGCTCGGAGCCTGGAGCTGCTTCAGATTCTGTGTCCCCCTCTCTCTCTGCCCCTCCCCTGCTTGTGTTCTGTGTGTGTCTCTCTCAAAAATAAATAAACGTTAAAAAAAATTAAAAAAAAGAAAAAGAAAGCCCAATTTGAAAATGGCAAAGGACCTGAATAATACACATTTCTCCAAGGAACATACATGAAATGGCCAATAAGCACATGAAACGATGCTCAACATCATTAGTCATTAGGAAAACGCAAATCCAAACCATAAAGAGATACTACTTCACATGCCCTAGGAGGGCTATACAAGAACCTAGAGATGGACAGAAAGTAGATTAGTAGTTGCTTGGGGCTAGGGTGGGAATGGGCAAGTGTGGAAATAAACAATGGCTAAAGGGCACAAGGTTTCTTTTTGAGGTGATGAAAACGCTCTAAAATTATCGTATGATGGTTGTACATATTTGTGAATATACTAAAAACCATTTAATTGTATACTTTAAATGGATGAATTGTATGGTATGTATATTATATCTCAATAAAGATATTTAAAAGAAAGAAGTACATGGAGTACAACTACAAATCACCATCATCATCATCATCATCATCTGTAGGCCCTCAAAAATTTAACCTCATTCCTTCAGCAATTCGAGGATGCCCAAGTAACCAGTATCTATCATAATGTACCCAACACTGAGAATTCTGTGTTTTAAAAATGTAATCTAAAAATAATTTTAAAGCTGTAGGAATTTTAGTTGTTTGTCTTAGTGTGTTCGGGCTGCTATAACAAAGTCCTCCTGACTGGGCGGCTTCTTAGAAGCAACATTGATTTCTCACAGTTCTGGTGGCTTGAAGTCCAGGATCACTGTGCCAGCATGGTTGCATTCTGGTAAAAGCCTTCTTCCTGGTTTGTAGCTGGCACCTTTTTGCTGTGTCTTCACATGGAGGAAGGGGCTGGCAAGCTCTCTGAGGTCTCTCAAGAGCATGAGTCCCATTCATGAGGGCTCCGCTCTTGACCTAGTCACTGAGTAAAGGGCCCACCTTATACCGTCACACTGGGCATTGGGATTTCAACACATGAATTTGGGGGACACAAACATTCTGACCATAGCATTCCATAGTATTCCATGCTGAAGTGATTTCAAAAGTATCTCTTTTTTCACAGATATCAGGAATTAAGGGAGTCATTCCAACAATGTAGACTTCCATGGGGTGCTGACAGAGAATATGGTGGGGTAATACCCATTTCACTCCCTGAGGAGCACAGGCCAAAATGTGAACCTCCTCATGTCATGGGCAAAGGACATCAGCATTATGGATTTGGTGGAGAAACCTGGCCAAGGTAAATAAACTTCCTGCTCTTTATATAGAGATCTTTATTTTGCATTTTTCTTTGCTCTTTGTTTCCATTGTGAGTCTTGTTGTTAACTTAAATCTACCTCCAAATTTATTTCTTTTACTATTTATGAAAAGACACAGATGGAAAAACTAATTATATAATTTCTAATTGTGAAATCTGTAAAAAAGAAATCTGTTTATGGATGTCTTTGCTATCCTGAGAGATGTTCAATTATTGTGATCAGAAATTTTGATTAATTCCCTTGCTAATCACATTTTATCTAAAACTATATGAGAATATTCCAAGAGATATTAAATTTAAAATCTTTTTGCTTGAGCAAATAGCTGGCCTCATTTGTATAGATGTTGTTGATTTTTGGAACTTTTGATTTCTAATTTGTTCATCAATCTGTAGTCATTAGAATCTACTGGGCATTGTTTTCAAGTAATAAAATATTTCAATAATCACTTGTAACTCTTAAAGTCACTCAGCGACTTTCTTCAAAACATATTAAAACTGAAGAGAAAGCAAAAAAAAAAATCTGAGCAGCAAATTAAATGTCACATTAACTATTTAGTAAAAATATGAAATTTTAAAAAACTATGAAATTTACTCAAAGCACAATCTATCAAACCTCCCCACAGAGCCTACCTACTCCTGCTTTATCCAACAATCCTGCTTACCTGGCTTACTAACAATCTAGCTGACTAGTTTTTTGTTCTAAAGCAGTTTCAAAAAATACATTAGGAAAGACAAGCTGCAGGTAGAAAGAGAAACAATAATGACACGTGGCAGCTAACGACCTTACTGAATAAAAAGCAGACAAATGAGAAGGCCTGTCAGTCCAATGGGAAAGCTGCAAATACTGACATATTACAGATAGCAAGGACCTCAAGATCATGAATTCATCCAACAGATTTCTTCAAGTCCCCACTCTCATGGAACTTACGTTCTAATATAATATAGAGAGATTTATAATATTGTTGTACAGTAGCCACATTGTTATCCTGGTTTTACAATACATGGAGACCCAGAAGATTCAGTACCTTTCCCTGGATCACACAACTGTGAAGTTGTGGAACAGGGAGCAGAGTCCAGATTTATTTGACCCCAAAGACCAAGTTCTTTTCATCTGTCCATTCTGTTCATCATTCACTCCAGCTATTCATTTATTCAGCAGTTTTGAGCATTGTTCTAGACTAGGGTTGTATGTATCTCTTTACGGACTCTGCATCTATTGTCCTCAAAAGTTACATATTAAAAAAACACACAACATTCTAAAAGGATCAGAACTGTACTCACAGAATTCAAGAATGTAAAAGAAGAGCCAAAGACAGGTTTCTTAAGGGACATCCAGTTTGAAATGAGAGGTTTGTGTCTGGTGCCTCACTGAATGCAGCCCTAGGCCACTGGGAGATAAAGTACTTGTTCCAATTAGAATGCCCATCATCCCTGGCTCAGAAATGCAGGTTGCTGTACTCTATTCTCTTCACAACTATGTTAAACGTTATCACTTTGGCATATTTATCTCTTAAAAATATATTTAGGACAAAGTCCTATTTTCTGATACAATCACATTACTTGGCAAACAACTACAGAATAGGTTTTACTTGTCTCCTAATAGGGAATAACTTCTGTCACAATATTTTCCTTTCTCCCCAAAAAGGGCCTTTTTGTTTAATAACAGAGTATTTTCCAGCTCTCTGAGGGGTCAAGCCTCATCCCGGTCCATATAAAATCTTGCTCTAACAATCACACCCTACCACGTTCCCTAATGGGGATTTTCAGTGGGGTGCTGTGGTGCCACACATTCACCCCATCCTCATGGGGAACAGGATCACCCCTTTGCCTCACCAACCCTCCACTCATATGACTTTATAAATTGAAAGTACCTGCTTCTTTTTTTTTTAAGTTTATTTATTTATTTTGAGAGAGAAAAAGAGAAAGGGAGGGAAAGGGAAGGGGCAGACAAAGAGGGAGACAGACCCCAAGCAGGCTCTGCACTGTCAGCACAGAGTCTGACATGGGGCTCAATCTCACTTTGTGAAATCATGACCTGAACTGAAATCCAGAGTTGGACACACAACCCACTGAGCCACCCAGGCGCCAAGTACATACTGCTTAGGAAAATGTCCAGTGAGAGGTCCTATGGTATGTCGTGTGAGGTTAAGAAGTTAAAAGAACATGGCTTACTAATGGAAATATAATCATATGCATTTATATATGCATGTTCCAATGTAATGTCCCTGTCAACATCAGTATTCCTTGCGGCATTTCATGACATAACCTATATCTAATTAAAACACTTTTAAAGGAACTTAAACAATATCTACTTAACCAAGCTTTGGAAATTCAAAGTGAAGTTGTCATCACCTAACTCAGCATCCATTCGCTTAGAAGAATGAAGTTACAAAGTAATAACAATTTATAGCTTTGTTTTCACTTCCATAAACACTTCTTCTTATAAGTTTGATAAAGTAGCAAAGTTTTTACTTTGTTTAAGAAAAAGGAAATGAATCTTCCTCTAACAAACTGGCAAATGTTAAAAAGCTGTTCAACAGATATACAGTGCTCTGTGAACTAATGAATACTTTGAAACTCTTGCTAACCAGCACCCTTTAATGATGACACAAGTAGTAGTGGTGGTGATAATGCCTGCAGGTTAATGCTTATGAAACAAAATCACGGAATATCCCTCTCCTGTTACCTAACAGAGAAATAAACAGGAAATTCACCAGCAGCCCCCAAATAAGAAAAGAAGAACGACTTTATGCCATTAATTTTAATGTTATGTCAAGAAAAGAAAATTCCATGTCATTTATTACAGTTTGTAACTAAATGTTTCTCAAGAGGGCATCTGGAGCAGGACAGTTCTTTGTCCCGTACACTACAAGATATATATCATCTCTGGCCCTCAACCTGTAAATACCAGTCTCATTCATTGTGACAACCAAAATAAAACCAGCCACACATATTTCCAGACCCCTGGAAGTGCTGCAGGTCCAGAGAGAAGACACACTATTGGTTGAGAGGCATTATACCTAACCCCATCCCTATATTCCAAATGCATACTGAGACGAGTCAACAAAATCCTGATAATTCTCCAATTTGAAGAGAAGATTAAGACTGAGCAATCCTAATAGGTAATCCTATTAGAACTGAAGAAAAGCCTCAAGAGTAGAAGCCTCTATTTTAAAAACAACAAGATCTCAGGGCGCCTGGGTGGCTCAGTTGGTTGAGCGTCCAACTTCAGACGCTCGGGAGATCATGATCTCACAGTTCATGAGTTTGAGCCCTGTGATGGGCTCTGTGCTGACAGCTCAGAGCCTGGAGCCTGCTTCAGATTCTGTGTCTCCCTCTCTCTCTGCCCCTTCCCTGCTCATACTCTGTCTCCGTCTCTCAAAAATAAATAAACGTTAAAAAAAATTTTTTTTTTAAATAAAAACAACAAGATCTCAAGAGAGATGAAGCTGTGCAGAATGTGTGCTCTTCCAGAACACTGTGTTGACCTAAGGGAATGAATAGAAGCCATGGGTATGGCTCCTTCCCTAAATGAAAGGAATGAGCCTTACAGAGGACATTTAATAGGACCTTAGACAGCAGTACCAACAGACTCGGATTCCATCTGACACAATCTCAGCACTTAACTCTCTGTCCCTTCCATCCCATCAGGCTAAAGAAATATGGAGAGAATAATATTCAGTCATCAAGCTTGTAGCACAGACAGAAAGGCAAACTTATTTCAGATGACAGGATCAAGAATTCACCCACACTAGATCAGAGCAAATAGCTGCATTTAAACAGAGCTGTTCAATTAAATACATGTAATATGAGAAGAAATGATGAGGCATCAGGAATATAAAATTATATCTATATCTATATCTATATCTATATCTATATCTATATAGCACATTAAGAAACTAGTCTGAGAAAAAACATAGCCCAGGAAACAAAAGTAGATTCTCTTTTTTTTTAAACTGCATTCTTTATAAAGGGACTAAATAAGTATGTGAATCTCATAAAAGACAGGATGATTAGAAAATAGAATATTATAAAAGGGAAGACCACAAAGCTTAGGGAAAAAATAAGAAAAACACACAAAAGCACTCACAAATCTAGTAAAAAAAAAAGCAGCAAGAAACAGAATGGATGTGACTGAAAACTGATATAATGGCATAAAGACAATAAATCACAAAGAAAGCAGAGAGAAAAGATAAGGATATTAAAGCAATAAAGGAAAAAGTTATGGCTATTAAGAACAAGCATAATTATCGTAAGGAAAACTGATGTCCCAAATGCAGAGGATGTAACAAGTAAAACAAATAATAAGTAAATCTAACAGAAAAAGGTACTCAGAGATACACAAGAAAATTCCCTTGAAATTAAGAACAGAATTAAGAACTAAATTCTGAAAATCAAAAGCATATACCATATAATGGCAAAAATAGAGTGGAAGTACTGACAATTGAGATACAACCTGGTTATTTTAACGAGAGAGAGAGAGAGAGAGGGAGAAAGAAAGGGAGAGAGAGAAAATGTGAGTGGGGGAAAAGAGCACAGAGAAAGAGAGAGAGAGAGAGAGAGAGAGAGAGAGGGAGAATCCTAAGCAGGCTCCACGCTCAGCATGGAGCCCAATGTGGAGCTCTATCCACAACCCTGGGATCATGAGTTGGGCCAAAATCAAGAGTCGGACACTCAACCACCTGAGTCACCAGGCACCCCAATATTATTTTATTCATAAAGAAAGAGTTCTCTCAACATTCAAGCAGGAAAAGCAAGGCACCTACAAGAAGGAAAGGAGGCTGGCCTCAAGCATCTACAGCAGCATTCAACTCCAGAAGACCTATCTTCAAAGGTTTGAGTAAAAGTAAACATAACCCAAAGATATTGCATAACAATTGTCAATCAAGCATAAAGACTACATACAGGCAGAATTTAGAGTAATAGCACCCAATGAGCCCTTCTTAAAAAACAAAAAAAAATCTGAAAATGAAATTTAACAA